TTTTTTTTTTTTTTTTTTTTTAGCATGAGACAATATGATAGAAACTAATGTTTAAAATATTCTCTTGGGTCACTGTGTAGAATGAGCAGAGAGAGGAGAAGCTGAAGGGCTGTCACCACTAAGGCCAACTCTGAGGTGTGTGCCCCCCAAAGCACCAATGAACAGAATGACCTGAGCCAAAGAGGCTACTCCAGCCCTTGCACTGTGAGCTAAAAAGCACCTGCTAGTAGTGAAAAGAGAGAAAGAAAGAGACACAGACAGACAGACAGAGACAGAGATAGAGACAGAGAACCAGTAGAAAAGGTGTTTTAAAAGAAGAGTTACCGATGATGTTACCTCACAAGACACTCTCACTTATCTAGTTGTCTAATGGATGAGATACCTGGGAGCTGTAACTGTTAGCCCTGAACCTTGAGTGGCCTCATACCCTGGGACTCTCTCTGTCTGAAGGATTGAAGGTGTCTAAATTGGCCCCATCTCTCTGGCTTCCTTACTCCTTTTCTAATGAATGGACTGTATTATTTTATAATTATTATATATAATTATTATATTATAATTATGTATAATTATAAGTATTATAATGAACTGGACCTCCATATAGTGTGAAATTAAATGCACAAAACTACATTATATTCGTGGTATTTTGTATCTGTCAGTCTCTTAAATATTCAAGATAATACCAGTAGGGATGTCTAGGGACTGTAAGTCTAGGGCTGTTCTTTTGGGTCTAAACTCAATTAGACTAGCTTAATTTTTATAAGTGAGCAATCAGTCATAATAAATCTGTATCACCATGAGGCAGCTCCATTAACCCCGTTCAGTTACCCATTACTCTAGAGACATGTGGGCCATGTCAGAAAGAATTAATAACTAAGAATTCCAGAAATCTAAGTGGAGATGTGTGATAGGTTCTGTGTCTGTTGTTCGGTTGACTTGCTTGAAGGAAAACGTGGGACAGTGGAAAGGCACCAAGCACAATTCAAAGAGTGTGACTGGGGTGAACAGTTCAGTAGAATGATGGAGGAGAAACTAGGAGCCAAACTGGAGCTGTTTCGAGTTCATCATCACGGAAAGCCATGCAGAATCATCTCAACTTCAGTCCTTGCTTCACTCTAACAGGAAAACCACAATTCCTGCGAGAACATTTGTCTTACAAATTTTTCTCTTTCCTCAACCAGGCAGAGAGGAACATTCTTGCTCTCTCAGACTCTTTTTTCTTCTCTCCTTGACATCTCCTTCCCTCTCATCTACTCCATCATGAACCTGTGCAGTGGCCCGCAACCTGGGGTCAGGAATTGATGGGCAAGAAGTTCCTTCCTTTCTGGAAGTACAGTTTCCAGCAGAATTCATTGTGTTCATTGACTGTGGTATGAGATGAATGCATCTCAAAATAGATTCTTCCTGGAATGACAGATGACCCCAGCAGACAAGTGACTGAGACAAATCCCTGGCTTCTTGCCTTTATAAGTCCCCATCAGTCACTCGTCCAGGTGTCCTGATCCCAGAAGTCAGGTGTTCAGCACTGCAGGAATAACCTATGCATTGTGCATGAGAGACCCAGAGAGGGCCATACGTGACAGTTCAGTCAGCTTACGTGTGGCATGTGACGGTCACATTTGGGTAGTGATAATAGCAACTATCATTTTTTTTTATGACTTTACCGTGTACTACTTAGTCCTACGAAGCAGATGCCATTATCAGTCTTACTTCCTTTTCACCCGAAGAGGGAAATGAAATTTGGGGAAGTTAACGAGTTCAACATGGTTACATAGCCAGTAAGTGGTAGAGATGGTCTTGAGCCCATTTTGGTTGACTTCAGACCCTTACTTCTAACCATAAATTTATACCAAAATGCCTACCAAATTATCAGTTTGGTTTATTAGCTTTGTGTACTTTGATCCAACTAAGAAACTAGAAAATCTGCATCTTTATAACTTATGTTAATCTGCTTAGGTTGCCTTGCAAAGTAACATAGACTAGGTGGCTCATACAGCAAATTTATTTCCTCCCAGTTCTGGAGGCAGGAAGTCCAAGATCAAGACATGGTAAATTTTATTTCCTGTGAGAGCTCTCACCCTGGTTGAGAAAAGAGAGGAAGAAAGAAGTGGGTGAGGGAAAAGGAGGGGAGAGACAGAGAGAAAGACAGAGAGAGAGAGAGAGAGAGAGAGAGAGAGAGAGAGAGAGAGAGAGAGGTCGCTGTGTCTCTTCTTGTAAAGGCACTAATCCTATTAAATAGGGTCCCACCCTTACGACCTCGCTTGACCTTAATTACCCTCTTACCCT